AGTAAATGGTCTCTTTCTTCCACAGACAGGCTGGTGGGTTTGAACTGCTGATGTTTTGGCTCATAGTCAAGTACTTCACCACTGCACCACCAAATCAGTCATCAAAGGGATTAGTGAAGTAAGGCATTTAAGCTAGAGGGAGGAATGTGAGCAAGGATATGAAAGCACAAAGCACACGATCTTTTCCAGAGAGCTGTTCAGCCATCAGTGTATCTGCACACGTGGCTGAATCCATGATAGGGAGAGCAATAGAGTTAGGCCACCCAGACCAGCAGATAAGGTCCAAATTTTGAAACTTTATATAATAGCCTGAGGAATATGGATTTTATTGTTCTGCCAATAGGAATTTGCTTTTGAAGAAAGACTTTTAGCTTTGATACAGAATATAAATCAGAAAGAGTCCAAACTAAGATAGATGTCACTTTATGAGACTTTAAAAAAAACAGTTCAAGTACAATATAAGGATGATTTAATGTGGTACATATGGAAATGAAAGGAGAAGAGCCAGAAGAGATTTTATGGCCATTTTCATTTATTACAAACTCCATTTGTCTCTGTGTCACCAGGATCAAGGAAACTCATAGCAGTGGGCTTCTGCTGAGAGGATGGCAGCTGAACCCACAAACCCCTCTGCGGTAGAAAGATGGCACTGCTTTCAGGGAGATTTATGGATCAGAAACTCTTCATCGAGTATCTATGGCTAGTAATCCACTCGAGGGCAGTAGGGCTGTGTGCTAATGGAAACATAATTTAAAGCCGTCTTATTGCAATATGCTTTACTTATCATACAATTTAGTCATTCAATCATCTTAAGAAGAGCTGTGCCATCATCCCCACAATCAATTTCAGAACATTTTCTTTTTGCACTCATCCTTGTTAAAGCTCCCCTAGCACGCACATAGCTAATTGTTAAGCAAGTTACTGTCTTTACAGATTTACCTATCCTGGATTTCATAGAAAACCATACAAAACACAAACAGGAAGTAAGCAAACAAACAAAACTTAACAAAAATAACCAGACAGAACAGAGAAAAGCTTCAATTAAGAAGAAAGCAGAATACATCAAAAATTGAAATAACATTCAAATGGTTCAAAAAGGAGATCAAATGATAAGATGTCGCATTTTAACCAAATAGCATCTGCTAGCATTGTCAGCGATAGTGGCACAGAAAGCGCCTCCAGAGTCATACAGCACTCACAGTCTGACTGAGGAGAAGCTGCTTTTTCAAGGCCAAGTGGAGCACGGTGTCATCAATGGAGTAAAGCCTTCAGGAGCTTCATTTGTTACTGGGGCACAACTCAAAAAGAGAAGAAATAACTAAAAAATCTACTAATAATGAGAACTTAGAAGGTACAAAATAAGATTTTAGGAAAATCAGAAGTCATCAGAAATGAAATGGAGTGCATATAGATCAATATTTCAGGTGTTATTCAACTGAAATGGACTGTTTTAGCCATTTGAATTGTACAGTCACATGATTTACTAAGCTGGGAAAGACACAATCAAGAGGAATGGCTTGAATTAAAGATCAAAAATGACATTTCAAGATTGATCTTGAAAGACAGTGCTGCCTGTGATGGGATTATATCTATTTGCCTTCCGGAAAATCAATCAATATAACTGTTATTACAAGATACTCACCACCACCAAAATAGTGGTGAAGAAATTGATGAATTCTACCAGTGTCTTCAATCTGAAGTTGCTCAAACATGCGATCAAGATGCATTGGTCATTGGCAATTGAAAGGCAAATATTAAGAACAAAGATAAAAGAACATTAGTTGCAGAATAAGCCCTGGTGAAAGAAATGAAATTGGAGATAGCATTATGGAATTTTGGAAGACTGATCATTTGTTCATAACAAACACCTGTTGTCAACAACGTGAACATTGACTACACCCAGGAACTTCTGTTGACGCAACACTCAGAGTCAGCCTGACTGCGTCTATGGGAAGAGACGATGGAGAAGCTCTATATCAGCATAAAGATGTGGATCAGCGTTGTAGCCTCTCACCATACTTACTCAATCTGCATGCTGAGAAAATCTTCAGAGAAGCTGGATTGTATGACGTAGAACTTGGCATCAGGCTTGCAGGAAGGCTTAGTAACAACCTGTGATATGCAGATGACCACAACCTTGATTGCTGAAGTCAGGAGGATTTGAAGAACTTGCTGATGCAGATCAAGGATTGCAACATTAGTACGGATTACAACTTAATGTAAAGAAGATCATAATAAATGGGGGAAACATTGAAGTTGTCAAGGATTTCCTCTTGCTTGACTTTGCAGCAGTCAAGAAATCAAATGTCTTATAAAATACTCTTTAAAATGTTGGAAAGTAGGGAGGGTTCTTTGAGGACTGACTGAAGCCATTGAATTTTCTACCACCTCATATGCATGTGAAAGTTGGACATTGAATAAAGAAGACCAAAAGATGGATGCATTTGAATTGTGGTATTGGCAAAGAGTGTTTCCTTGACCACCCAAAAGACAAACAAATCTGTCTTGAAAAAAATACTGCCAGAATATTTCTTAGAGGCAAGGATGGCAAGATTTCATCTCAGGTATTTGGGATATTTTGTCAGGAAAGCCCAGTCCCTGGTACAGGACATGAAGCTTATTAAAATAGAGGTTCAAGAGAAGGAGGAAAACTCTCAACAAGATGTGCTGACCCTGTGGGTAAGACAATGGGCTCGATTCTGAGGATGGCACAGGACTGGGCAAGATGTATTTCTGCTGTGCATAGTGTTGTTGTGAGTCAGAAAGGCCTCATTGCACCTAGCAACAACAACAACATCTGCCATTATCAACTTTACAATGCTCTCTGCGTAATAGCAAGGCTAGTCACATCCTTGGACTATGCTCAGAAGGAAGTCACTGCAGGCTTAATCCATGTGAATGGATCTTGGGCTTCTGGTGTCATCCATTGCCTTCTGCAAACCAGGTCTTCATACTTTAAGCTTTGGTACCATCTTCCTTTGGATTTCCGTTTTAGAATTTGCAAACCTAGAATCACACAGTCTGCTGTTTCTTCCATGTGGACTGAGAAGATGCTTATTTAGATGATTGCTTCTTTTCAGACAAATCCTTAAACTCCAGATGCTATTCTTTCTAATAACCAGTAGTTGTTCCTATACCCATATTCTTTTTGCTGGTCAGATCAGTCTCTTTTCCTGGGCACAATTGACACCTTGGAAAAATGTACAGTGGCAAATAAAACACAATAGAAAGAGTAGCCAAATATTGAATTTGCTGGAAACGTAGTCTCGAAAACTCAGTAGAAGGTATTTTAATGTATCACCTGCACAAGGCATAACTAAAGCATTTATAAACAGTCTATTAAACAAGTCTGAGTCCATGCTAGCAAGGGGAGGTTCCGCCCTATTCATTCAACCTCTTTCTACAGCGCTCTCTCTTCAAGCCTGTCCGTTAGCAAGGCAAGTTTCATTTAAGTATTTAAGACATTAGAATGAATGCAAGTAAAATTAGAAAAGTACTTTGGATTTTCCTCAGCTTATGCCCACTTGATTGGTGGGGCAGGGGCGGGGGGAGAGAACTATCTCCTTTGTAAACAAATCTCTCCTACGAATCCAATTGGTTTTTGGCCTAAAGAGGATTAGCTAGGAAAGTGAGAACAACATCTGGGATAGATTTGCTTGACTGGCTCAGTTAGTTATAATTTGGCATTGGATCCCTCAGGCCTGGCAAATATACAAGTCTTGGCCCTTTCTCACATAGATTGGTTCTGCTCACATGCCCTCACATAGCCACAGTACTTCTGCCTGGTAGCTCCAACCCAACCCTTGTTTCCTTCGTCCACCAGCTCTTGATGTAAACACTTTGGAAATGAACCCAGATCAGTTTATCTTTAACATCTGTAGCTGCTTTCCAGAAAAAAAGGCACCTTTGCCTTCTCATTGGCAGAACTGTGGTTTGCTTTCATTTGGGCTCTTTTTCTTTTTGCTCTGTTTTCTCATTTTGAGACATTTTAAGCACTAGAGAAATATTCTCCACCTAAATCAAACTCTCCTAGTTGTTCCCTTGAGCCCATCTCAGTTAGCTTGTGGCAAGGAGAGAAGCAAGTGGTTTCTGTGACTTCTTTCTTGAGAGTTGACACTGTGGCCCTCTATTTTCAACCCTTCCACCAGTAGCCTGGAGGTGGATTATGAACTGAAGCTAACAAAATCATGAGCACCTTTAGTGTGGCAGTCTTCCAGGCCATTGTAATTTTAAGATTTTGGAGCCTCAAGGAAAACTGAGACATGCTCCCAATATAACCATCATGATAACATAATTGGAAAATAACAGGACCACCAATTTCAATTCAACATGCTGGTTTGTAGATTTCTTCATAGAAGAATATGCTGCTTTAATAAGTTTTATATTATTGAAGATCATTCAAGAACATTTTAATGATGACCTATTATCAGCACCAGGATATGAACATGTGACTTGTGTAATTCCATAAGACTTTACAGTGACAAAGGCAACAACTTGTTTTTATATCTAATGACATCTTCTTGAAATTGCTAGTGATTTTTTAATAAGAGGAGCAGAATTTTGCTTTGCTCTTGGTCCCACAAATCATGTTCTGATACTGTTGTCTTGAGTATGTCATGAAGCTGGGCTCATGGAGGCTTAAAGAACCTTTCTTTTTTTTTTATGCTTATGGGCTTTTGGATAATACCATTGTTTCACAAACTACTTCGTGTGTTTTATAGGTAAATTAATTTTATTATAATTAAGTATCGAATCACTTCATTTCATGGATTTTATCAATATTTTTGTTTACTAGTGATTTTTCCTATGAACTATTAAGTAATCGAAATATGTTATGTGTAATATATTTTGGGTTACAGGATTATTTAGTTTGCTTGAATGTACCACATAATTGTGAGGGCACAGTTCTATCCCAAAAGCTAACCTTTCTAAACTGTTCTATGTTTTGTTAATGGAATTCAGTGTAATTGACTTTCAATTTTATTCATTCTTTCTTGGAGGGAAACATCTGGGAACAGATTTTACGAATACCCTTCATCTTGGAAATAATTAATGCGGTTCCATTCATTATCTCAGTAAGTCCTGAAAGAATCAAAATAAAATAATGTTGCCATCAGATCTAACAGTATACATTACATATAGCTACCATCATATAATGTAGTCCTTGTAAATGATCTTCAAATATGGTAGTGTCATGATATCAATATATAGATAAGAAAAAATGTTGATACTGATTTACATTATTAAATGAAAACTAATGAAACAGTACAATGAAAAAGGAAATGACTTTTACAAACTACAGTAAAAAGGAATGGAGGAGGGCATACCTGATCTCTCCTGGCTTTGCTATTGCCTTTTGCAAATATAAAGTAAAAGCGACACTTGAATACAGGTAAATATTGCTCACACAGATTATAAAGCTTTTGACTTCTTGCTTATATTGTACTTCTTTAAAAAATGAGAAACTGTAGAATCATTAAATATCCATAAAAATTTTATTCTACTGAAAATTTATTTATATCTAGTTCAATCAGAATTTATGAAAGGCAATTTTCTTTTCAAAAGAAGGTTGCCAATAATCAAACAGCAATGTCTTCTTTGTCAAATCTCTGTTGTACTCATGCCACCAGGGTCTTGTTTAACTTGGATCCATAAATTGGCAGCCAACACTTTTTCTACTTGTAAATTACATTTCAATTTTCATGCCATAGAGTTCTAGTAATGTCTGGCTTTCAGATTTTAATTTTCATAAATTTACTCTAGTGTTGTTTATAAGATTGTGAAAAACAGGTGATTTCTGAAGTTGTTGCTGTCTTCTGAAAATTTTTTAATTTGAGTAATTTATTTAGAGGAACAATTGGAAATAGATTTCAAGATGAGATAAATAAATATAATTCTAATTTGACCTGACTCTTCAATGTGACTTAAAATGGCTGAATTCAACAATAGTAATAAGTGATCAAAATAAAAGGGGGAGAATCTTCTCTTTGTACCCACTTTTCATCTCTATTTCCAGGAAAAAGAAGAACCCATGTCTATGATATGTAATCATACAAAAAGCTTTCTGATAGAATTAACATAATTAGATACAGCTGACACCTAACGAGAACTTATTTTCTATGTGCTATTACAGTGCTTTCCCTAATACATTTTCATAAGAAAGAGTTAGAAAATGAAAGGATCTTGCCTGTTTAAATTTATTAATAAGTATTTGCTGCATAATTTAATTATCTTTAATGACTATGTTTTATTTAACCTTTCTTTTTTGAATCTGCTGCCTCTCGATTCTTGCTTGGAGAGCAAAGCTTCCGTTTTCTTTCATTTTTCAGATATTCTGGCCTTCTTTGCGCAATCTCTTTGTGCCAGTCTTTCTGAATTGCTGGCTGGCGAAGCATGCCTTGGAAAATATGATCGTAAGTATTCAAGTGAATTGCTAAAACAGCAATAGTTTTAAACTTCATTATTTTCTTTTGACTCTCAGTGTTCATGTCCAGCAAAGAGAGAAGATGATTTGGAATCCCAATAGTTTACGTTCACATTCTGCTTTCTCCCATACAATGTAAACTTATATGACCGGAAATTATTTATGTACAACTAAATTTTCAAATGTTTATTTTAAAAGTATATTTTTAAGTTCATTTAGTATCTTAGCAGGTATTTGACTTATTAAATGTTCATCTAATATGTTGGGGTGAAATACTATAAGTCATATGTAACATGAATGTCTATACAAGCTGTTGCTCCACATCCCACTGAGAATGAACACAGAAATGCCCATGTTGCCCACAGAACAAGCTTTGATACCCTGTTGAACCACTATGATGCAGATATTCCAAATGTCAGAACACCAAAACCTACCTGCTTGTTTCGATGAGTCCAACTAGGTAACTAGCCTTTTGAACACAAGTAAACTTAATTTCCAATGCCATCTGTTGATTATAATGGCATCTCTGGGAGGAGATGTTTTCAAACAGCCCTTAACTGTATATTCTATGTGGATTCTAATGTTCTCCTGCACCAGGCCCTGTGTTGAAGCTGGAGATTTCAAAGGTGTCCCTTTAGATTTGGTCAGGGTGAGAACAAGTAGAAAAGTAGGAGGGCGCGGGGAAACAGAATGTTGGGGACTCACTGCTATCCAGTTGATGTGGACTCATAGTGACCCTGTCCAGCAGAGTAGAATCGCCCCTTTGGGTTTCTGAGACTTTAAAGTTTTACAGGCGTAGGCAGACTCATTTTTCTAATGGAGCGACTGGGAGGTTTGAACCACTGACATATTGTTAGGAGCTCAAGAACTGAAAACTTCCCAACACAGCATTTTGCTCAAGATTGGCCATGTTTGGAAAGACTGATTTAGTTCTATGATCAAAATTTATTTGCCATAGGATCTGCTGCCTATAATTTAGCTGAAATCCATTTGCTATACATTAATTCAGTTCACACATACTGGTAAGACTCTATTGCCTGTTAAGCATTCTCATAAGCCATATAACATCTCTGCATGTTTCTCCATCTGTGAAAAGTAAATATATATAAGTGCCTACACTATAGATTTGCTCTGAGAATTACTTTTACATGCACATGCACACAGACTGGATATATATAAACATGTGTGAACATGCACAAACAGTCACAATATTGTATTTTGTATAAACATAGACATATATTAAGGACTCAGAATTATTAAATACATTTCATTTTAATTTTATAGTATGCATATTTTAACAGACATTGTGATTCATGTTTGGGCCAAAAGGAATGTTTGGAAACTATCTGTGTATCCACACAAGTGAATAGTTCTAAAGATATATATACATATTTTTTAAAGAGATATTTGTTCAAGTAGTCATTGGGGTCTCCTGGAAGGTTTTGTATGGTGAATGGGTGGAAGTATTTGTGCATGAGAAGTTTTGCAAGAACAATAGAATGTGGATTGCCCAAAAGAAACCCTGGTCACCATAATTGCTAACGAAAAAAATATACTGGGGATGGGGAAGAACTCTTTGTTTATTATTATACTATTCGTTTTTTGGGGGAAATTACCATGAGAGTCAGATTAAAGGCAACGTTTTGCAATACTGATTTAGGATTCTTTTTCTTTTTTGCTCAATTGCACCTCTTTCTGATCACTCACAATTCAGTTAGAAGCAGTAAGCAGCAGAGGGTGTTTGTTTTCTTAATGCTGAGCTCACTGCCAGGGAGTCTAGTCTGACTCTTAGTGGCCCGATCAGGGGAATGTAGAACTGCCCCTGTGATTTTCCAAGAGGGTAGCTTTTTATGGGAGTGGAAAGCCTCATGTTTCTCCTGCTGTTTTCCTACTTGTTCTATTTCAGTATCTGGTGGTGGAAGATAGAGCCAGAGGAAGATAAATCTTATTGAGATTTTCTACTGACGAAGTTATTTTATTGTTCTCTCTGTCTGACTGCCATCGAGTCTGTTCTATCGCTCAGTGACCTTACACAGAGTGGTAAACTACGGCTGTAGATCTTCATGGGAGTAGATAGTCGGATCTTTTTCCAATGGAGTAGCTTGTGGGTTTGAACTGCAACCTGTGGTTAATAGTCCAGCACTTACCTTACACCACCACCAGAGCTACTCATGAAACAGCATTTTAAAACCTTTAAATGCTTATTATATTCATAAATATACCAAACAAATGAAACAATTTTATATTTCCAAGTTTTTGTATACATAAATATACACACATTTCTGACATATCCTGGTTTGTTCAGACATATAATTGGAACTTTTTGTATATTGGTATGCACTGTACAGATCTGTATCAAATGTTATTTGAGATTATTATTAACGAATTAATCTACAGTTTTTGTATTCATATGGTACAATTCATTTAACCTATTTTATTTTTGTATATTATATGGTAATTAACATTCATCATTTCATATACAAAGCATTATCATTTTGTACTAAAGATTAACATACATAGATATTTTTTCTGAACTGATTATTTTTATGTGGTTCTTTTTTTATTGTAATTGGTCAATACTTACTATTATTGAATGAATGAATTAATGAAGAAAATTAAAATAACATATACCTATATTACCTAAATCCCTTCCAAAAATGCATAACAAATTACATGAGCATTATTGTATGTTAGTGCTCATTACTTGCAATCAAAACTCCATCGTATTATTTATTTACTTTTTGTTTAGTCAGTTGTGCAAAGCTTATTTTGAATCCACATTTATTTGAATACATGATGAAATAAAAATTTTAAATCTTTTCTTCATTGATTATAAAATTGTAAATTGTTCTTTGAAATTGCTTGCCATAATTTACATTATTTTTATGATTCAGAAAAAGGAACATGGTATTAATTTTATCCAGTTGTTACCTAAATACATGCAATTATATTCCAATTTTTTGAAATGAGAATCTTCCATAAGAGGTTAAATGAACCATGGACAATGTGGGGGAGTTTAGTGTAACATCTTTTCAAATACTTAAGGCAAGTATGCCGAAACCTGTGTTTCTGTGATTTTCCTTGTAGTACTTTTGCAATATGAATACTACATGGTCATTTGTGTAGCTAAGCTAAGATATGAATGTACTAATTTATTAGTTGATAATATTTGTATTGATTAAGCATAGGATAGTTAAAATGTCATGTATTTAAATGATGCATATTTTGTATTTATCAAAATTTACAGTGTGCTTTTTTTCTGAATTATTTCAGAATGATCTACACAGAGCCATTCAGCGTACACAGTCAGCCATGTTTAATCAAGTTTTGATTCTAATATCTACATTACTGTGTCTTATCTTCACCTGGTAAGATTGTACATACTAGCCCTTTTCATTATGCTTTCTTTAATTATAGTTCATACATATAGCAATCTTAATTAGTAGTCGGCTAAAATGAAACAGAATAACCTTTACCTGAAATGCAATCAATAATGCACAGAAATGTATGCAAAGTCCTTCATTTGCCCTACAGATGAAAGAAGGATGCTCATGTATTGCTGGGTATTGAGATTTATTGTAGCTCTGACATTTTCCCCAACTGCTGTAAACAGCAAGCATCTGTACTGCGTGCCATACTTGTCAAAACAAGAATTTCTCTGTCTAACCACTGACATGGAGGTGCCCTGAAGCCTGTACAATCTTCAAAGCGGAGACACTTTGGAAAACATTGTCATTGCCAGTCACTCTCTGTGCCTCTTTCTCATCTGTATGATGCTTAGTGGGCAATCAGGCAGAAAGGAAGGGATGATTGCCTGACAGTGCAAACAGAACTTGGTGCTTCACTTTATTCCAGAAAACAGTCATTCCCTCTTTCAGGAGGGCATGCATTGGCAAGTCCAGAACAACAGAGTGTGCAATGGTGCACCGCACATCAAGATTCATGGAGATGCTTAGAGAAACTAAAATGTGGCAAACATAAAGTGAGGCAGAATCTTAGGTATTATCATTTAATTGGGATCTGATGCTGCTTTAACCTTATTCAGAAAGACAAAAAGCTAATTAGCAAATACTAAATAAGAGGCATGCACAGATACACTAGTAAAGCAGAGTAAGACATAAACAGGCAACTCTAGATATATATGTAGTACAACTACTTTGCATGATGCCTTTAAATATAAAATGCCCCTCAAGAACTGACACAATATCATACTATATTTAGTTTTAACTCTTCAGGAAATGTTTTTGTACCCTATCCAGTAAATATATGATAGTATAACAGAGGACATCTCTCACTTTTAGTAAAATATCATCAATTGATTAATTTAGGAGTATTCCCATCTTACTCCAGGAAAAATACTTAAAATTATAAGATACCTAAGCCAGAATTGACTCAATTGCACTATGTTTTAATGCTGTTATTTTTTTCAATGACTGGAAGGTTAAAAGTAATAATAATAATAAAAGTAGTGACTCGTAAACATAATGTAGTATTCTGTTAAATTATATTTGGTAAAGTGGTAATTGATATGTTGTTGGCAAAATAAAGACACTTTTTTTAAACAACACTTTGGTACTTTTAATCAGGAGTTATTCTCATTGTAATATAGATTTATCTTCAGGGAGTGTGATAGGTTGTTTGCATCAATATGGCACCTGTAAAAAGATACGGGTGAAGTTTAGCACATCATTCAGCTCCATTAGACATATGTCTGCATGAGTTTGAATCCTACTTCTAGTACCGTAACGTGGTAGGCCAAGTTGCTAGAGAAGCAAATCCAGTGACATGATTATTTATCTAAGAGAGAACTTTATATCAAGAAGTAATTATTTATGGCGAAAACATCCCAGTCTGTTATATAGTATTGAGACCAGCTCTTCTCTTACATTACTAATGGGTTCAATAAGGGGCATTGTCTGCAATGAGAAAACGTATATACAAAAGGGATCACCAAAAGTCAAAGGGTCCCTGCAGTATAGGCACTCCAGTCCCAGAGCTTTATTAAGGCAGGCTTAAATATTTTCCCTGCGTGCAGCCTGCAATTCATGACAGGATTCCACAAAGGGACGGTTTACAATGTGAAGATTTATGGCAGACCTGGAAAGATGGCAGACCTGGAAATGTGGCAGTGCTCCGGTATCCCGCAGGGTCAGCAGCAAGCAGGGTCTAAAGGCAGAGGGAGAGCGAGGCTCCCTGGGAATCTCTCCCAGTTCTAGTGTGGTCAGATTTTCTGTATTTTCTACGAGTTTCTAATCTTTGGCTTTTTTTTTCTTGTGATCCTTGTTAAGTTTAAAATGATGGTATTAGCTCTCTGGGTCAATTTTTTGACAGTATACTTAATTTTCTAAAGCAGTTTGGGTTCACAGAAAAAAAATATTCAGAGAGTACAGAGAACTTTTATATACTTCAACCCCCCACTTTTCATGCAATTTCTCTAGTTACTAACGTCTTGAAATACCGAGGTACATTTGTTATAAATGATGACTGATGCTAATATATTTGAACTCACTAGAGTCAATAGTTTACAGTAGGGTTTGCTTTAGGTGCATAGTTTTGAGTTCGAACCAATGCACAATATCAGGTATCTACCATTACAGTGTCATGATGATTCGTGCCACTTTCTCTAAAATATCCTGTGCTACACCTGTTCATGCCAACTCTGCCCCTCTAAGACCTTGGCAATCCCTGATTTTCTCATTCTCTGTCTAGTTTGACTGTTTCCAGAAAGTCATATAATTAGGAACATGCAGTGCTTTCTCAGACCAGCTTAGCAATATGCATTTAAAAATTCATTTTGTAGCTTCACTAAAAAAAAATGCAAACTGAAAAACACTGCTGTCGAGTCAATTCCAACTTCTACCTACTCTACAGAGTAAAACTACCCCTCTGGATTTCCAAGGCTATAAGCCTTTACAGAAGGGGGAATATTCATCTGTGTGTGGTAGACTATCTGGTGGTTTCTACCTTATAGTCAGGTGTCCAAGGCATTCTCCATGACCCTCCCCCCCAGGTCTCAGTTTGTAGTTTGATAACCCTGAGTAAGATATCATTTCTTTTGATCACTTTGTAAGAATCTATACTATTGTCTTCCAAAGCAGCTGTAGCAGCTTTCATTCTTGCCAGCAATAAATGAGAGATTCTCTTGCTCTGCATCCTTGTCGGCCTGTGGTGTTATCAATGTTTTATACTGTAACCATGCTAATAGAACCCTGCAGCCCTGTGGTTTAGCCCTGGGCTGCCAACCTTGAGGTCTAGGGTTTAAGCACAGTGATGAGTCAGCGAGAGAAAGACAATGGTATCTCACGTCCTGAATATGTAGCTCACAGGGTCACCGTGAGTCAGAATAGGCTCGGCAGCAGTGGATTTAAATTTGGCTAGAATGTTTATAGGTGGCATCTCATTGATTTTTTAATTTACAAATCACTAATGATGTGTAACGTCGATCTTATTTCTATATGCCGATTTTCCATCTGTGTAGCTTCTTTGGGTAAATGGAGCTCAGATCATTTGTTCATTTTAAAGTGGGTTGTTATCTTTATGGCTGTGGTGTAAGCCTTCTTATGCATTTTGGATACAAGCCCTTTATAAGATGAGGGTTTTTACCAGTAGTTCCACGCAGGCTTGCCTTTTGCTCTCTAAATGTCCGGATGTTTTTAGCTTTTGGAAAAGAGCAACAGCACACATACCCATTTCTTCTGTTTCTCTCTACCTGGAGAAGTTTTTCCCTTTTTATCTGAGAATAAAGTGATGAGTAGAAACCATGATGGAGAATGATTATAGACAGAAAAGTAGCTTTTTAACATACACAGTAAAACTTACTCTTAAGATAGTTCTGAGTACTCTCATGAGAAAATACCCTATCATTTATGGCCCCACTCTCTGAATATTGACCCATAGATCATTGTGAAAGTTATCATTATTTTTCCTGCTTAAAAAAAAGGATATCTCTGATGCCCTTTAAATGTGCCAATGTTATAGTTATTTGCTATTGCATTATGCCATATATAAAGATTATCAGTGTTTTTCTATGTTAGAGCTATTAATACATTTGTTATAATTTAAGCCCCAAAGATGCAGACACTGATGTTTGATGAATTGACTGTGTTGTTCACGAATCCCAGAAACTTATCAATTCCTCTTTTTAGAAGGCTGCTATATAGTTTTAAAATCTATCATTTACTCATCATTATTAACATTACAAAGAAGTATCATTAAGCATCTGTCTACAAGAGGAATTATGCTCAGTGCCAATATGAAATAAAAAGTAAGCTGTGGACCCAGTTTCAGTAGGAAATGTGCTCAGAATTGTTTTTTCCTGTCATTGTACTGGAATTGGGCTAATATGGCCACATGTTAGCTCTGCACTCCTCTTGATCAACAATGTGTTTTTCCAAGACAGCTGGGATTTGTGATTCAGTCCGTGGCTCTGGACAAAGGAAAGTAAGCTGCTAGATTCAGGGATTAAGGACATGACTTTAGCTTTTTAACAAATTATTCTAACAGGAAGTAGTGCAACTTATAATTCATTTGGTTTTAAAACTTTTTACACTGATGGATTTATTTTGTACCTATTTTTATTAAAAAACATTTCTATTTAAATTAATACGCACACACGTAAATATTCTTATCCTTAATAGCGCTATAACTAAAAAGCTACCTTATTTAATGGATATGGTTTTAGTCCAGTGTAAAAAATTTAATTCACTCAAAGGTCTTTCAGAGGAAATTAAATCCATTTATTTATTGTTAAAATGTGATCACCTAAACATTAACATGTTTAATTTAAAAACATTTGAAAATTTCATGTTTTTTAATGATTCTTTCAAATCTAAATGCTGAAATCCTTGAATTCTAATTATCAATTTAACTGTGAAGCCAAATGGCTACTTTAGAATGGACAGTGAGCACATATGTACTATAGTTTGAAAGAAGTATTACAACATGGGATAATGGCTTTATATTAGCACTCGTGTGTTTATTTTGTCATATTTGTTTTTCTAATGTTCTGATGAATGATAGCAAGTGAATTTTCTGAAGACCATGCCAATCACTAAAAGGCTCCAGGTTTGTATTACTCTAGATCAAATAGAAAACTATTGGTGTCTACTAATTTTTGCATGGGTGGGATGTCAAATTTTAGATATTTAACTAGAAAGTTAAGGTGAATTCCTATTGGAGAAAAGGAAAATTTAATAGTTCACATACCAAAATAATAGTATACTTTTAAATAAATGTTCTAAGAAAAACGAATTTGTACAATTCTGCCACAAAACAACCTTTTTTGAATACAAATATTGTGCAGTTATTTTCAAATATACAGATATGTTATTGCAGAAATAAGAGAACTCTGGAAGATAGATTGGCTTGT